AAATGAAACCGCATTTATTTCATTAGCTAAAAGATGTCTGGAGTCTTTATCTCATGTGAGTGTAATGTTTTTTTTTTTTGTTTAAGTGTTTTCCATTACGCGTAAAGTGTGTTTAATTACCAAAAAATTGGAGTGCGTCCCGAAATGAGCAGAACCAGACCACACTGTAGTGTACAAACAGTAACATTCATTTCAGGTACACATACAGATAATCCTCAGCATTATGGAGACATGGTTATGGTCTCTATTTTTGTAAGGTAGTTTGCTAAGGTTTAGCCTGAGAACCCTTGACATCCTTGCTATATCTCTTCATATATAGCTGAAGCCCCGGGGCCCGAGCAAGGAGGGGGCCCGTGATTGGCTGTGGAGTAGATTGACTGGAGCGCCGATCGCCAAAGCCACCACGCCCCCCACTTATTAGCGCTGTTATTTAGTTGAGCTTTGCCGTAAATTCCATGCATTACCATTTGAGATTGAAACGTAAAGTCTGAATTTGGTTTACCAATCAAATGCATTTATTCTATATTCGACTTTTGAACGATATGCAACATTTCTTTCATTTTTGGGTGAACTATAATGCAGCCTAATATAGCTGCTGTTACCATTTGTGTCAATAATGTAAATCAAACATCAGAAAGAAAATAACTTACTGTCCTTGACTGAATCACTTTTGTAAAATAAATAAGAATGAATGTATATTGAATTTATACAGTGAAGACTACTCAGTCTATTTTCTTTATACAATATATTTATTATTCAGTGCTTTTTCAAGTAGGCCGTTTTTTTATGATCTTTGTTCTGTTGTAGCCTAATTTGTGACTGTTTACTTGTCTTCAGTAAGCTTATTTTTACTTAGGTTAGTATTATTGTTTATTAATATTGAAATTGGTAACAAAAATTATGAATGCATGTGTATTTTTGTCTGCGTCTATATTTGTCTGCGCGCAGCAGTGCAAAGTTGATTCTGTGCTTACTTGATCTAATATTTTATGTTTTTAAAAATGTTGTAGATTTAAGTAGCAAATGAGAATCGCTAAAATTAATGCTTATTTCTTGAGAGAAAGGTCTTCTTTATGATTTTAAGTTTTGTTTTAGATAATTAAAGCAACAGTTTTTAAATAACGAAAGAATATGTAAAAGTATAGTATTTTAGCCCCCTGCTGTTGGGACTAAAGGCGCACAGTAATTAACATGATAATTAATAGATGGCTGACTTTTCCATTTGTTGACATGACATGGTTAGATTCAGATGGTAAATATCATATATTATGTTGGGTGTCCATATTAGAGATAATCACCATGTTTAGAATGAAACTCATATTTTAAAAAAATGATATTAATCATATCATATAATAAAATATCATTTGATGTTACTACTGTAAATATATTCAGTTATTATTGGATATCCTTCAATACTTTCAGAATATTTACTTATTAAAACGATTTTGTTTCTGTATTTTAAAATATATTTTTTTATATTAACATTTTAATGACAGCATATTTATTGGGGAAAAAAAGTAACTCTTTTATTTTTCAAAAT